AAAAAAAAAGGATTTATTGATGAATGTAATGTCTATGTTGTGTTGGTGTGGAGTTGATCAGTAAGAATTGATTTCATACAGCTGTTTTAGATGAACTCTTTCTCTCTCATGCACACCCGGTGTGCTCTCCTCAATAAAGGTCATTTAAAGCAGAAGTTGTCATAATTAGAAGGGCATTTTAAGATCTAATTATCAAAGATTAAAAATACCATTTTGTGCATCAATCCCTTCAGGAGTTAAAAAGGAATCTGACTGCAAGGAAACCCACATTGCAATTTCAGAGAGTCGACTCGGATCGCTTAAAGCATCCTAGATATCCATCTGTGTCATGGAATCATTCATGATAGAGGTTAATTAATATAGAAAGTCGACTACGGTCTCTTTCTCCCTCTCTCTTCTCCTGAAACCATTGTTTTGTAGGAATCTGAGACCAACCTAACACAATTGGATCAGTGTCTATTAGGCCTTTATTATATCAGGGGTGCTTCTTCACAAATGTACAGGGCAATTTGAAATGAATTGATTCACGCTGAGACTGGATCCCCAGACCTGCTAATGATTTCCTTTTAGCTTCCTTTACCCTTTGCTTTTAAGTGCCAACTGATGGCCCCCACCTTCTGCTGTGGTAGCTCTTGTCCTTTCTCACGGAGCGGTCATTACTGTCAACAGTCCTGTAGCTTAAGATCAAACTCGTATGCAGTCAGGCACTCTTTTTTGTCTGTAACTTCGTTTCACGACTTCACACCACCACCACAAAGTTTCAATTTGTAATAGGAACTCTGGGGTAAAATGCCTTGTTGATTTAGTTTTATTTTCTATTTTCAACAAAAGCTAAGCACAGCTATTCATGCATACATCATTTGCAGTGACTTTGAGTAAAATTTGAGTAAATTTGATCTTACATTTAACACTCTTTTTTATAGCTATTGCAGATTTATGTTACTAATAAAACTGAATGAAATCTATAAACTGTCCCATGTATTTTGAAACAAACAACCGTACATTTTTTGTTGTTGTTGTTCAAGGTGTATGTTTATTGTTTAAAGGTATACTCCACCCAAAAATTAAAATTCTGTCATCATTTACTTACCCTCAAGTTGTTGCAAACCTGTATGAGTTTCTTTCTTCTGCTGAACACAAAAGAACATAATGACTTCCATAGTAAAAAAATAAATAAAAAATACTATGGAAGTCAATGGATCCAATCATTCTTCAAAATATCTTCCTTTGTGTTCAGCAGAAGAAAGAAACTCATACAGGTAAATGATGACAGAAATTTTCATTTTTGGGTGGAGTATCCCTTTAAAATGTAAAAAGGTAAGTGTTTTGTTTTGTTTTTTGCTACACCATTTGCTATTTAAAATATTTACTTACACTTTTGATGTATTAAGATATTTAAAGTAGTGTGTATGCATTTGATGTCAAAATTGTTCTTATATTTTGCACATTTACATACTGTACGTATTACACTATACTCACCAATTCTAAAAGACCTCTGTTGCTGCCTTTTAAATGTACATTATTTGTATTTAAAACTACATTTTGCCATTTTTTTTATATATTATAAATACTTACTAATATATAAGATGGGAAACATCACATTTTCTTGGAAGTTTTTTTTTTTTTTTTTTTTTTTAAGTTTCTTGCCTACCTCTGAACACAGCCGCGTTTGGTGTCTCGTTCACTCGATATTGAGAAAATCTTTTTCCCTCCCATCTACAAATGATTTAATCTTTTGTAGTGTGTTGCCTTGAGCAAATGTATATTACCTTGTTTGACCTGTTTGCAAGGAAAGTCTTCCTTCTCAAATCTACTGGTTATATGGCAGCATTTATAAGCAAAACTTCTTCTAATTCTTACAGGTCTCAATTTCTAAAGCACTTTAATGTTCTTAAAATAGGAAAAAAGTGTTCAGAATTCACTGGTTATTCTTAGAATTACATTTTTATAAATTCCGGAAAATTGGGACTTTTTTTACATTAAACTGACTGTCAAAATGTGGTGTGATTTTTGATTCTGAATTGGTCCTTTATAAACCAGATATTGAACTTTTAACTTGTTTTAAAGGAGACTGAAATGACGAAAGAAAGCATCATACGAGGTTGGCTCGAAAAATTTGGCTTCCCTAATAGGACATTTATATTTCCTTCCCGATCAATATCATCATGTTAAGCGTAACGACCACCTCCTCCAAATTTAAGGCGAGTGTGAGGCAAAAGTGCTCTTTTAAAACTCTGTCCGATCCAAACTCAATAACCAACACGCGTGATTTGCAAGACCTCGTGCAGTCATCATGTTCACGGCGGGCATGTCTCCAGACGTGGCCCTTAATGTTCCTCGGCCCCTATGATTGAGTTTTCACCACTTTTTAGGTTGCACCTGACACTTGATCATTTATCTCATTTGTAAAGATTATCGGTTAGAACAGGGAGCACTTTCCGTGCATTAGCAATTTTACCCTTACAAGAAACACTAGAAAATAATGGTTGATTAACAAAGAGTATTTACTGGTATTCAGCAAAGAAACATGCACCCACCTTTTTAATTTGAGTTAATATTTTGCTTGCCAAACCAAATGTGTCTTGTACTGACATGTAGTGATACAGCTCTCCCCCTTAAAAGCAGGATCGCGCGCTGCTACCTTATACGACAACGAGGGTGATCTATACGTCAATAAGTAGACAAGACTAAAATCTGTGCAATGTGGTTATAATTGATTGAGATGTCTGGGTGGAACTTGCATAAAGCAGCCGTGTCATCTGCAAAGAAAAGCACTTTTCTTCTCCCTGAAGAACAGACGTAACACTCTTGAAAAATAAATGGACATCGCCCTCATTTGTTATCCCACTTTGATCCCATCTTTTAGAGAAGTGTTTACAAGAATGCCGTGCCCCTTCCATCCAAGTAAAAGCTAGTCTCAATCACAAAACGGAGTCGTATTTCAAGCCGAGGAGCTGCGATTTTTGACCCCTTTGTCTTTATAATCTTAAATGAAACATTCCTGCTGTTGTTGTTGTTTTTTCGCTGGCAGTGACTCAATTGAGAATGTTCTTTTCCTATAAAGTGTGATTTACTGTACACATGCAACGTCATTTTTGTGCAGTGCATAAAGAAATTGATGGTTTATGCAGTTTATGTGGTGTTTATAGGGCGGGGAAGGAGCGTTTCTGGATTGTAAAACACTTATTGTGTGATTCTCCAACAGCAAACCCTCGTCCATTCAAATGCTGATTTTCACTTGCGATTCATGGTGTCTGTTTTAAGACATGTTTTTTTTGGGGGGTGGTAAGTAATGGCGCAAATACCAGTAAATTGACTAGCGCAACCCTTAGTAAATTGCCTTGTGTGATTCATTTATATACTTTCCTCCCATAAATTTTGCATCTGAAAGGGAAACTCCTACAAATTGCATTTGCAAAAAGGTCAGCTGCAAAAATAGCCTTTGCAACGCAAATTTTTTACTGTGTCTTTACTAAATGCTGACAGTTTTTTAACACCAAAAGAAGGTTTGCGCTACCACAAGCTGTTAGAAAATCTGGCCCATAGTGGGGTTTTTTGTTGTTTTTGATGGTCAGAAAAAACTTGAAAAGGTAAAAAAAAAAAAAAAAAAAAAAAAAAACTTGATGCACAGATCAAGACATTTCCAGAAAGGTCATGTCAACTCAAAACATTGTCCCTGATGTGTTCTGAAACCAGGTGTGACTAAGGTTGCGTTTTATGCAGACTCTGCCTCAGATGTTTTTGAGGAGGAGACAAATGCGGCCTGCCTGCTTGCTTATTCCAATTATCGGAATCATAATCTCATGCCGTTCCCTAAATCGTCAATGCCCCCCCTTCGGTCTTCCTTCTTCATCCAACAAAGTCAAAGTTGTTCCCCATAAATTTAAGCTGGAATCAATATGATGTGTTTTTGAAAGGAAACCCGGGTCCCCTACTCACTCTGTCTTGATTTGTCACCGCAGAATTATACGGCCGGCCCGACTATTACACATTCTTCTCAGCCTATTTTCAAAATGCAATCCTTTTGGATTGAAACAGGTCTTTAGTATATGCAATGCATTACCTAAAACGGATTACCACAGACAGCGCGCTCAATCACTTTTTATCTTTTGCCGCTTAAAGAAAAAGAACAGTAATCAAAACCTTTCAACCTATTAGAGGGATGACTTTTACAATTGAATCACAGGGACCACAGGTGCGATAACGAGGCGGCTCGGCTTTATCCTTGAGTGTGCGTTTCCCCCTATCTCCAGATGTTATTTCATGTTTATCTGTTCTTTAAAAGCACCACTTCAGAGCCCGCACTTCAAATTCATGCTATAATGGTGTTTGAGGAGGAGAGCATTTTTTTAATTCTAGGAGAAGCAAGCTAAAGTGGCAGATCGAGGTGCACCTCGAAGGAAAACACGATGGAATCGATGGGAACGGCGCTGCACTTCCGACTACACGTGTTCTGATGATATTTAATTTTCTAGTGCATTAACACTCAGTCATTACAACATGCAGCCTAGGTGATTTGATCATAATGCATTTTCTTCTTTAAGAATCGCTGAAGTTTTTTAGCCAGGTATTAGATCCAGATGGGCACTTCAGCATTAAGTATAGATTTCCAGTCCCTGCTCACTTAAGGCTAGGAGTTTGTCTTAAAGAGGATAATGGCAAATTAAACTCCATACCCCATTTGTTCTGCAAACCTTGATGGGATAATTTTATAACTGCTGATTCACTCATTTCCTAGATTTATCTCTAAAGTGGTTTGGTGGTCTGGCCTCCATATACTTATTGGGAGGGGGAGGGCTGTTTTATAAGTTCCTGTTGTTGGCTGATGATATACCTTGGGGAGTTGGAAATGTACAATAATTCAGCCGCCTCGCAAGAATTCCTGAATCTTCCTCTCATTTCCAGTGAAGTTAATTTACTGATGACTTTCTATTATACTGATGAGCTCATTTCACGCTGCAAATGTAAGATTTTTTTTTTTTTTTTTTCCATCTTCACAGATTGCCACGGCGGTGAGGTTTCTACAAAACCAGCAAGTTCGCCAGAGCCCCCTGGCAACCAGAAAGGCTTTCTTAAAGAAAAAAGGTGTGTATCATCAGTATGTTCCTCAACCCTAATGGGAAATATTGCGTTTTTACAGGCAGAACGGCTACAAGATGGCAGTCATGGAAACTGAGAAGCACAATGTAATCTGTCTCACTTTACGGCTTATTTGAGTGTTTTGCCAGCAGGTCTTAAAACTTTAAAATCAGTCACATAAAATGACGATCACTTCGGAGCTGAAATGCAGATCATTTTTTAAAATAAAATATAGTCCTTCACAAAGGTCAGATTAGTTTTATCTTGATTACATTGAAGTTTAGCAAGGTCAGCATTGTCCTTTATAACACGATAACTCATCTGTCTCTGCACGCTATCGATAATTGTAAATCTTAGCAGAGCTGTGCTTATCGGACATACAGTATTGTCCCGATTTTTCCTTTTAGTTCTTATTTAAAATGAAATTTGTTCTGTCTAATTAATGGTAAAGACAGGTGGATTTGGCCTACGACGGTGCTAGTAGAGGGGCAGAGGAAAGCGAGCCAAATAGCTCAATGACCGGTGTGGGTAACCTGAGACAAAATCCATAGATGCTGGCTGGTGTTGTTCACATCAGTGGCCTATTATGACTTCTCAATATCTTTAGCATTTTCCTCGGTCAGTGCTTCTCGTTAGCAGTAGATCAGCTTCATTTATAATTCACAGCTGGGTTATGCAGCTTAATACGCAATATGTTCAGGGCAAAATGTGGTGATTGTATCCAGCTGCAGGTATTTGCAGGTTCTGAGCGATATGCATCATGTTTGTGTTGTGTAGAAAGTGTGTTTGGTGGTTCAAATGGATTTCTCAAAGGGGTCTACTGGCACATCAAATATTAATATGCTAGTGTGTCACTGTTTCATGATAGGTCAACCTCCCCCCGCCATGCCAACTGAAGTCAATACTATTCAATGGGTATTCCACATGAATGTGACTTTTTCAGTATGCTTCCTAAAAAAGGATAACTAATAGATATTTTCCCTCTCTCCAAACATTTATTTTTCAAATTTTAATTCAAATGATATTACCAACTACAATATTAAGAGAAAAACATTTTATTTATTAACATGAATTTTAATATTTATTACTATTTGACACGTCCTCCTTTTCCTTAATGACGACAGCGCTCGAGCTGATTCCAGGATGATCATGTGGTTTCAGACCTCAGTGTGTTTGTGTTATTTATAATCCATACATGCATGTATCTGTGTATACGTCTCTATTTTGTATGTGTGTATAATGTATATTCAGATATGACTTTGACCCCTCCGAACCAGGGAACACTGTGAACTCGGGACTTTCATGGCAATGTGTCCCCAGGGTGTGTTTGAACATCAATAGATCTATAGCTGGAAGACTCGGCCTTGTGCTATTGCTATTCTAATTTGATGTTGTATTTTTTTTTTATGCGGACATTTGGAGATCTTCGAACGAGGACACTATTTCCAGGTCACTAGCCTTTTAATTACCGGCCCTTGTAACCGAGAGGTTATTGATAGAACTCAGAGCACAAAAATGTTTACAACCACAGCGCGCGAGTTATCACCAACGCTTCGAGTTTAATTTCTTACGTTTTCTCTGCTCGCTCATGCAATTTTGGGCGGGACGCAGCCGCTTACACCCCGAGGACCACTTCGCTGTGATATTGCCACTTGTCACGCAGTTATGAAAATATGTTAAACATTGGAACAGACAACTATTCAATATCCTCTCAATGGACGTTCCCATTGAGACGGCTTAATTAAGCCAGTGTGATTTAGGCATGATTTGTAAGTACTGTACGTACAGTTCATAATGCCTGCTGTTAAGGACGGATTTCGGATTAAAGTCACAATGACCTTTTTGTTTTAATTGTGGTTCGCAATCAGCAACCTTTTGTCTACACGCAAACGTTTTTGTTTTGTTTTGACTAGCCCCTCAAATGGAAGAAGAGCGCAGGCTTTAAAGTGAGCCGTCTGTGAATTTGCATGTGCTGGAAAATGGTCTTGTGTCAGCACCGAGCCATTTCTACTGAGCCTCACCTTCAACAATGTAATTATGTCACAATGTTGTATCACTCTGAAAGCAACTCGTGCAATTTGAAGGGTAGGAGGGAGACTAATCTAGAAGCAAAGTGCTGAGTAATCTTAAGCCAATTTCTCCTTATTAAATTTCTCCTGAAATTTACCATTTTCCCAGTGCCCTGCTGAGCTCACAGAAGCAATTTTAACGTGCTGCTCTGTGTGTTGTTCGTGCAGTGTTTTCAGCGCCATTCCTGGAGTTTGCTCGAAAGTTTAATTTGATTAACATCGTTCATATTAAAGCATGCCTTAAAAAAAAGCTAGCTGAAATGACGGATCAGTGGTTATGAAGGTGACCTTTAATTTCCACTGTTTATGGCTAACACCTATTAATTAGGGATAGGGTTAAGCCAAGGTCAATTTAATAGTTGCTAAATGCTGGAACCAATTCTTCAATAGTAATGGTTGATGTACTCGTCTAGATTATCTTTGGCATTTAAGAGTTTTGTCTGTAATCCACACTATAGTTTTGTATTTCATTTGTGCTAAGTTTTATCTCGCATTGCATTTCATAGAGTTTTTTTTTCCCACTGATAAGTGCTTTACAACGGTTTCCCTGATTGTTTCTTATACAGTACGTACAGTACGCTCTTTGCCATATCACTAAGCCTGAAGTAGCCCCTCATCCACCCCAGACCAGAAATCGGTCCCTTTTTAACTCGTATTAGACAGCATATAATTTAGCGTTAGATTTAATATTATTAAAGTGGCATTATTACAATGAGTCACTTTTAAACTAAAAGCAATCAATACTGTGGGTGAAAAATAGACTCACCCAGTTGCTTCCGCTCAAACTGAAACGGCATGAGAAATATAGGCTAGAAGCTTATATTTTATAACTGCATTTAGTTTGTTATTGGTTGCTTTTATAGCCTGAGACTCTTGATGGGATGAAAATAGGAAAATAGCGGTATTGTTATGAAGTGTGAGATAAGTATAGAGCACTGTTGTAGACATTTACTTCAATTCACACAAATTGCCCAAATGTACCCCTATTATTATATAGTATAGTTTTATTTCCTTAACAGAATAGCTACATAAGCTGTTAAATACATACCATTGCGTAAATAGTTTGTTATTTTTTGACAGCCCTGCTATGTTATTTATTGTTAAAATGTAAATGTCATTCTATTAATATATATATTATATATATATATATTATGACTATATTTAATGACTAATTGAGATTATGAGAAAGAAGAGAAAGGGAAAGAGGATCAGGAAATGACATTTTATAGTGCTTTTTATTTTTTAATATTTTATTTATTTTTTTGCATTGTAAAGTAATTTCTGTTTTATAGGTTTAACAAAACATAAAATCTTTTTAAGTACTACCTTTGGAATCAGTATAAGGCAATATTATAAGGTGACATTGTTGATCTGTCCGTCATGATGAAGTAGAAGAGGAGCATCATGGACGTTACAAAGATCAGAGATCAGATTTCGGGTCAGCCACATCCCCCACAAACAAGACCTTAATATCCATCCATCTTAATTTCTAATACAGCTTAATGGCATATTTATGTAAATATTTTCCAGTTTTGCTCTATATTAACAGTGAGAAATGTCAAAGTCCCCATAAAATAAAACAATACCATCTTCTGGTGGAGTGGGGAGTTAAATTGGATTCCTGCAGCAAGCAGCCATAGTGGCGGGCAGCTGATGAAGGGGAAAATAGGAAGCACTTTGATTACATGTTGCAGCGTCTTTACACAACAATCTCTCCTACACGTATTATTTACATGCCTTATGGTCTAATCCGTGCTGAAGGATACCTACGTGATTTCCACCCCTTTCACTCTCTCAGTATTTCTGTCTCCCTCTCTTTTCAAGGGGAATGTGATTGGTCTCGGTAAGCATTCGGAGATATGCGCTAATGTTTTCTAAGCAGGTCATTTTAAAGTGTAAATTGTGAATCTCCCAGAACATCATTACATCACTCTTTGATTGGGCTTTCCAAATGTGGGTGTATATGTACTTATTATCTAGGCTTGCGTTAATTGTATGAGCTGTCCTTAAAGAAAGGTGGTTTAAAGAAGCTGCATGTAATCGCTACACTGTAATTACTTGGTCTGTACAATTTTACCAATAATTCACAAAATTATTCTGCAAACGAACATTTATTTTCAATTTTTCTGGCAGTTATGGCTCAATCTATGTCTCAGTATCTTGATTCGTCGTAAACTAACAAGCTTGTGGGTTTAGTGATGTCAATATAGTGGGTAGCACTCTGTAATCACTTTTCAGATGCATTTGTTCTATATTTTGATTAAAGATTTTAAACAAATATTTGTAATCCTTTGAAATTCATATTTTTTATAAATTATTAATTCATTAAAAATATATTTTTTATTTTAAGTTGCAATACTTTATTATTATTTTAAATGATAATTATAGCATTTGTTCTATATTTTGATTAAAGATTTTAAACAAATATTTGTAATTCTTTGAAATTCATATTTTGAATAAATTATTAATTCATTAAAAATATCTTTTTTATTTTAAGTTTCATTACTTTATTATTATTTTAAATGATAATTACAATATTATTGTATTTTTTACAAAACTTGTTTAAATCACAATTTAGACTAAGGTTTTATAAATTACTTTTCGTCTGTGTCATCAATTTGTTAGAATTAGGGCTGTCAAACGATTAATCGCATCCAAAATAAAAGTTTGTGTTTACATAATATATGTGGGTGCACTGTGTCTGTGTATAATTATTTTATATATATATAAATACACACTCATGCTTGTATATATTTAAGAAATATTTTCATTTATATACTGCATATAGGTTTATATATAATTTATATTATATATAAATATCAAATATATAAATAATATTTTTTTTTCTAAAATATATATGCACGTGTGTGTGTGTGTATATATATATATATATATATATATATATACACAGTGCACCCACATATATTATGTAAACAC